AAAGAGTTGAGAGGTGAGTGTGTGTCCCTGCTGGGCTGACTGGCAGGAAGAGTGAGGAAGATGCATGCAGGTTTTTGCTGAAAGACTCTGAACTCCTTGCCCTTTCAGGGTCTGTGTAATTGCAAGCATATCCAAAAGCTCCCCCAGAAGTTTAATTTTACAGAGAATGTAGTGACCAGGGTGAAGCAGCAGTTGCAAGGATGTTTCAAAGACTTAAATTTTATACCTGAATCCCCACTGCAGTGTTTAGCCCTAAATGCCTCTTTTCCCAGAAACGCTCATTGTTCAGTAGTAATAGAGCTTTCTGCTTTCCCGTCCCTTCTGATCCTGGTGATACTGTACCACATATGAAGTTTAAGAAAGATTATGATTTCTTTTTCAGATATCCAGTGAACATTCCAGATTCAGCATTTTTGTTAGCTTACACTGCTGGAAAAAAACCAAAAAATCACAAACTAGAAAACCAGCCAAAACTAATACCTCTGCAAATGTCTTGGTGTTCAGGAAGCAAATGTACCTGATTGTTAGGTCCCAATTGTTCTAAATGAGCCAATAATCAGAAATTAGTAAACAGCTAGCTTATTCCTAGCAGAGACTAAATGTGGATCTAAGGAAGGAAACCTAAAACGAAGTGTTGTCATGGTGATATACAGGAGACTAAGCAAGCAGTGCAAAGCTCCTCTTCCTAGGAGACCTGAGAGACTAGCTCAAATTTTTATCTGTCATGGTTAATTTATCATTTCACTGAAACAGCTGTCAACATGCAAAGTATGTAGAAGACTTGTAACAGGTACCTTTTGTTTTTTGAGGGCACAACAGATTCTGCTTCCAAATCACAATTTCAGATTCAGCCTTAATTATACAGGAAAAAAAATATTTGGGGGAGTTTTTGCTATTTTTGGCTTTTTACTATTTATAAGGGCAATTAAATATTGAGATTACCTCCTCTTAAGAATGTCATCATGAGGCCACATACCGTGGTGTATTTGACATACTGATTTCTCCAAGAAAGGAAGCAAGGAAAGTAGACCCTTGCAAAATTTATGCATGCACACTGTTAAGATTAAAAAGCTGGTCGTCACAAAACAGAAAAGAGTTATGTGTTGTCAGTCTTAGAGCTACTGCTTATATGGAAGGGAAAATAAGGACACCATCAGCGTCATTTAAATAAGTATTGGTTTTAAAGCAATTTAAGCCTCAAAAATTATTTATTTTCAGTGCAGCATGCACTAATTTCACTATTAAACACAAGCCATTGGATTTCAGTGTTTGTTGTGTTAAGCTCTTGCTCTGAGTTCAAACCCCTCTGGATTAGGAGTATATGACTACTAGCTGGTAAAATGTTGAGGTTCAACTACTTAATGAGTTAATTTCCCATCTCAGTAAATTCAAGAAAACATGGCAAACGCCAGGCTAAGCAGAACATCTGGTTATTTATATCTGCATCTCTCACGAAGCGATAACAAGAGTTCAGAAACATGGCTTCAAATTAGTTCTATTCAATTAATTGGAGGTACACAAAAATATGTTTAAATTAATGAGTCACACCATCTTGATTTACGGCTTTCTTTTAGTCTTAGACTTTGTATGTTACAAGACTAAAACTAGGGAAGACATCACTGCTTTGATAGAAATTTGAATGCCACAAGTAGTTCAGCACCACAGTAAAAACCTGGTTTGCTCACCTTTACAAACAGTCTAACAAAAACACAGTAATGACAGTGAAGTACAGATACTGCTCCTGATTATTCATTGCTCTGGATGCTGCATGAGTGTGGGGAGCATCAAGCCCAGGCATGTGGAGCACACTCCGGGAGGTAAAGTGAACAAAGTGGATCTGGGAACCTCACTTTGCAAGAGATTCTCCACCTCTCCATAATTATCTCTGTGGGAGATGGCTGAGGCCATTAGGTAGGCTGGAATCACGGGATCTGACTGGTGAGTGGAAACAGGAAGGTCCTTAGAAGTTTCTGTCTTGTTACTTCACTTCAGAAATGTTGGTGTTAAGCAAATGTGTTAGAAGGAAAATCTCCACAGTCAGACTATGCAGGAACTCCCCTGGCATGGGGTTTAGGTGGCATTTCTGGCAGAACTGAAATGCATTTTTGTTGGCTTTTCTAATATTTGATTTTATTTCTTACAGAAAATTATTACAGTTGTATTACCCATGGCTTCCTATTTTCTTTTTCTCTGAGCTTTATTAGTTTTAAAGTTCATGAATTATTAAATGCATCTTTTATATAAATGTAATTAAAAGGTGTTACTGTATTTTTCCCAGTGACAGCCATAGTTAACAACAACCTTTCTGTTTTATTTTGAAAGTTGTATACACGCCTGGGGGAAATAATCATTGCCTTTTATATCTCAGGAAGCCAAAATTCATGCTTGCAACAGAAAGAAGCTCTGCAAATTGACCGCCCCAATAATGTACCCTTTCATGAAGAAAAGCTGCATATTTACCCCTTTTATGTAGAAGAATACTGGCATGTCGGCGTCCATTTCCATTCTCGACATAGCATGAGTAGTTCCCCAGGTCTGCCTCTTCCACAGAGTCAAGAATCAATGAGATGGAAACCTCCTGTTCCCCGAGATGTTCCTTGAGAACCCTGAGAAAAAAGCAACAATTACTACAATTGTGCTTGTATCATAGCAAAGCATTAGATAATCATGACATAATAATGCTAGTTATAATCCACAACTCTGGCTTCAAATGTGGCTATGGTTTGATGAAATCTTAATTAAATTATATCACGCCCTTTTCTTCTCCACTTCTAATGAGGAGGTTTGGCTTTGTAAATGTTAATGAGAGCTTCAGTTAATTGTCTTCTTTAAGCAGGATGGTGTGAATACTGATAATATATTATTGAACACTCTGATGGAGAACCTGATCAGTAGTATGTGAAGTCTTGAAATGTTAGAAGAGAGAAAAGTGAAAACAGTTAATTTGGGGTTTAGGGTCACTCTAGGAGTCTGGGCTAAACACACCTTTTGTGTACTTTCTGAGGCTCTTCAACATGTCACTCAGAAACAGTGTGCTCATGCCAAGGTCTGAAAAATTATTTCTTGAATGTGTTATAAAATTTGACTGTGTATTACAAATCAGTAGAAAGAACTACCATAGCAGATGTTGCTCCTTCATACAGACGATAAATAAAAGGCTTCCTGCATAAGACTCTGCCTGTCTTGGCACTGCTTTCTTTACCTCTTAGCAAGCTCACCAGTGGTTTTAGAAACCCAGCAAAGGGAATGATAAACTGCTCTAGGCTGCTCACTCACATCATACCTGACAAAAGAAGTGGAAACCAGCCTTCCTGCTCCTCCCTCCACAAAAAAAAGAAAGTTGTACTGAGGTTCTTGTCACCTTTTTATCAGCCTTCAGAATGCCAAGTCTCTGTCTGAAGGGTTTAGGAAAAGCTTTAGACGTGAAATACAGCAGATTTGATTGCCATGTGCCATTTAGTGTATTGGTCTTGAGCTTTATAGAATGAACCTGGAGTACACAGGGGTGAGATATGCTTCCATTTTGCCTATATCTGGGACATGAAGATCACCTTAAGTGTCTACGTGGCCTTCTTGATTTTGGTAAAGGAATTATCTCTGTTACTGTGGTTACACTGAAGAAGTCCAAGGTTAAGCTGAACATGAGTGTGACTTCTTTTGATGGGATAGTAAACTCCTAAGTAAGAGGTGAAGAGTAAATAATCTCATTTTGTTCTGTTACAGACAATCACTATAGATAACACATCTGTGGTTATTTAGTTTCCTTTGTAACACACAAATATATTTGCCTCCATTTCTGGGTTTATCCATGATATATAGGCACAGTGTTACATACACACAGAATTATAAATGAAAAAGCAATCTCTTCAGATCCAAGTAGATGCTTCATCTTCATATAGGATAAGAGTTGGTATGTTATGTCAAGCATGTAATTCTCAATACAAATCCATTTTTTTTCTAAATTTCCAAGTGAAGCAGCACTTTTAGGAGCAGTAAAAGTACATGACGCAAATTGCCAGATCAAGTATTTCAGCTGATATAAGCAGCCCACATAACAGGATGCTTGGCTCACACAGGCCACATAACATCCTAGGAAACTCATTTTTTTCCTTGAAGAAAAGAAATCAAAACATTTCAAAAGAGAACCCAGACTTCAGCATTTATTTAAGGCTCCATGTTTTAAAATACTTTTTTTGAGCTGTTTTCCTTAGTGTGTTTATGTTTCTTTATTTCATCTTAGTAACTGTCTTAATGGTTCTTATTGTAGATTGCCACAGTTTGAAAAAGTCACTATGCAAATTCCAGCTGGTTACACTAGAGTACACGTCAGGCAGCTGTTCTGCTTTTGCAGCTCTCTAATGTCAGATCTGGCCAAGGAATGCATTCTTCTTTTCTCTGCCAATGGAGTTGAAAAGGCAAAAAATGGATGTTGCAAAAACAGAGATCAGACCCAAAGCCTTCCTGAGTTAGTCTGTGATAACAAGTGTTACACAGAACATTAACTATCAAAAAAAGATACTGTCTGAAAAAACAAAATGCTTTTTCTTTTACCTGATATCACTTTCCCAGACTCGACTATCATCCAAATCTTCAATAAATTTCTCCCCTTTCATCCAGTAGATTAAAGGACTGACATCTCCACTATATCCAAAGAAAGCTCGGCAGGTTAGATTAGCAGAACCGCCTGTTACAAAGAATGTAAGAAAATATGTTATTTCAAAATTTGTAAAAAAGTTTTATTTTTTAATCAGTTGCTCTTGTTGATTTAAAAAAAATTTTATCTGTAGAAATCCTAAATTTCCAGCTGCTGTTGAATTGTGCAAAACTATCTATTGTCTTGCAACTGTTGTTCAGTATATTTTCTAAAAAATAAATACAATAAAAAAGAAATTATATGTTACAGAAGAACAGGAGTCCATTTTTCATTCTTTCACCAGATTTTCCATGTTCGGTAAGGAAATGAAAGACACTGTTGTTTTTTTCAAAAAAGAGCTACCTTAACCAACCATTTTCATGTTTTCTCTGAAAACAGATAAAGGTTAGGTAAAACAGACATGCAATCACATCTGTGCTAGTTCAGCTTTGCAATCGTTTCTGCAAAGAGGCCGCTAGATTCCTGTAGGTTACCATTTCCAAGGGACAGCCAGTAGAAAGATGTATGCTCATTGCTAGGTTATCTTTGCAGGAAAGTATTAAACACTGAAACTCAAAAAAGAAGACGTGAACTCATTCTGTACGTTGTGGGACACGTCGCACTGTATGAATGGGAATAACCATTAGGTACATGTAATAAACAGCATAAATTTTATGGATGTGCAGCATTACTTAATTAATCGTTATAATGAAAATCAAAAAATGTACTACACCTTCACTTGGGTTTATTTGTGTTGGGAAGATCACATAAAACTAGCTATACTGTGGGCAGACACATGTGAAAGATTTCCCTTTCTCTGCTGTAAAAATGTTTGTCTCAACATGCATGAGTCCTTCTAAACTGCTATGTGCATTTCTTTAGTGAGTAACTTCACAGGGATTTAAAAAAGTGTTGTGATTTAAGGAATGTTTATTTCGCCCTGAGAGTATTTTCATGGAGTTTATATTACTGCTGACACAAAACTCATATTTTATTTACATTTTTAATTTTTGATCTTAGGATTTTAAAGCTCACTGACCACAGCTCCTGGGAAAGAAAAAAAAAATAAAGAAGATGCATTGTCAACAGTACTTCATTCTGTATGGAGATACCATGAGAAGTCGGTCTGAGTTCAATGAATTTCCTTAAAAATACACTGCTTTGGGTCAGGACCTGGTCCTTCTCAAACATATGACATTAATATCTGAACTTCTTATTTACCTTTTCGTATGGAAACAAATGCAAGATGCTGCATAACAATAAGATTAATTATTAAATAATTGTCTTATTTATTTGAAATGATTTGTGGCTTTCTGTAAAAGCATCTGACACCTCTGCCTGGCTTGAACTCTCATATCTGTGCCATGAAAGGTGCAGAATCAAATGTTTTTAATCGAAATATGAAACATCAAGGCAAGTACCATCTATGTTGCTTTCACAAGCTGCTTCAGAACTGGGTTGCATTCAGACATTACATGAACTTTTGGCTGGTGACACACCCTTTGCCAGTAATGCCTGCTAAGGAGACGGGAGTATCCCAGAACTTGAAACTAGGATGGAGAGGAGGGTCTCATTTGTAATCAAAATGTATGAAGACAAATCTCTGACTAATGAGACATTTTGATAATCTCATCTAATTTAGAGCAAAGTTACCAAATGTAAACTGAAGAACTTCATTGAGAGGGCAAAAACTCTCTTTGTAAAGACAAGCACAGCTCCCTTTTCCACACGCCATGGAGCAATGATCAGGACACCACCCTGGAGACCAACCTGCTCAATCTCTACACAGCTCAAGAAGTGCCATTCAGAAGCACTGAAGAGAATGATTTTTGTAATCTTGAAGCCATTTTCGGAGATGAGAACTGGGACATCACTTTATGTGGGTCAATTACATGAAAACCTGTAATGGAACACAATAAACTTCATGGTGGTGCCCAGGACATTTTAATAGATGCAAACCCAGTTTCTTAGAGCAGCTGCATAGCAGATATAAATTAACTTTTGGGTTTTTTTTTTGTTTTGCACCATAATTGTGATACATGAATATGTGAAAATGAAAATACAAAACTTTAAAGGATATTCATAAATATCTTGGCCATGTGCCAGTCTAGCACATGTTCAGGGCTGTGAAATGCCTAGGAACCACTGCATTGGTGGACTCTGATCACTTTCATAACAGGAGAAGTTACCTGCACATCCAAAGCAAAAGAAAGCTCCTGTGATAATGGCATAACCCCTATGGCATTATCTACTGGTCTTAGAGGGAAGAGTGCTACCTAATGCATCACTGCCACTTTTGGGGCTTTTTCTGGAGCTTTCCCATCGAGTCAAGGACTGGCTGGAACTTTTTAGCTTTTAAGATTTGACAAGAACACAGCTGGAGGCACTGTAGTTTCTGGCCAATTTATCCATGATTCACAGAGATTAAGTACCAGAGGTGCTGAACCACCAAAGGTCTCCAGGCTCGTGCAGGCACCCACTGAGAGCTGATTTTTGCACTGTACAGGCCTCTAGGCCTTTTATGGGTGAATATTAACATGCATAGGTTTGTTTTTTAGAAATAAATATATTTTATTAAGGGCAAAAAATGTTAGAAAAAATAGTTTGTAAGATTAAGGCTTTTTTCCTCTCATTAAATTCAGAAATTAATTTTCCCCTTAAATACAATGTGTAAATACATTTTTAAACACAGAATCCAGAGTTTCCATTCAACATGAAATATTTACACCTGAGGAATAAATTAGGGAGGCTGTAATGCCTCTTAGTAGTACTGCATAGATTACATTCACTGAGCAACGGCCACTAGGGTGCCAGATGTTCAGCTGTAAATACTGTCTACCTTGACCAATCTTTAAAATCAGCCAGAGGGAAGTTCATTAGCAGGTCATCAGGAAAGATTCAGTGACCAGTTAACGACCAACTGTGACCATTAATGAGGAAGTCTATTACTCCATAGCTTGCAGCTCCTTGCGGAGGGCAGTGGAGCTCGCTTGGTGGGGCAGAGATGCTCACAGCTGCAGGCACATGTAAGAAATGGGCAAAGGCCGACTGAAAGGCAACATTACGAGTGAACAGAGTAATCTGGGAGAATATCTTGATCTCTGCTTCAGAATTGCCCTCATGTGAGTGAGTGCATGCTGTAGGATGGGCTGTATTTTTCCCTAGAAGTGCACCTTTAGAGTGAGTGGTCAGAGGACGCTGAGTTTGGCACAGAGCGGCTGTTCTGCATGGGCAATCTGTTTTTAAGAAGTCTGCATATTTTTAGAAAGCATGCAAAATTTAAGTAAATAAATAAAAAAAAAACCTGCTTTGCTTCCTCTTTAAGCTAATGTGCAAAACAACCTGACAGCTAATTCATAGAAATCACTCACAGTTAACACTAAACCCTAAATCTCTCCATGTGTTTTCTGTGCTGAGAAAAATGATAGAAGTGATTTGAAAACTGTAAAAGTTTGATGAATGGCTACGTAATGCTTTCTATGCCATTAATTTAAATTTTTCCTGTAAACTTATTATTACAGTTTTATAGTCCATTTTTGAAGGAATTTAAATACAAGTTTTAAGTTAACTACTAGGGAAATCCATCTCTCTGTCTCTATCCCCTTTGCTGTGAGATGTTGTAAAGAATTCATGAGAATGTTCTCTCTCAAGTTAGGTCTTGGGTAAACTGCTTTTTTTTATGGACCTGGAAAAGTCCAAAGGCATGAGATTAGAATTAGTAAGTGACAGCATTAGAATCAGTAAGTGAAACTGGTAGTGTTGGGGGTTTTATTAACACTCACTCAAAAAAAGAAAAAAAAAAAAAAACAAACCCAAAACACCCTCAAGCAGTAAAGAGAAAAATGACAGTTTTGACTTCTCCGTATACAGACATGTAAAAGAACACCTAAAAAGTAAGATTCAACCATGTATTTCTCGATCACCATTCTTTCTGAAGATGAATATGCTCTTACTAGATTGAGCTGATTTTTGTAAAAACTGGAATGTATAGCACTACATGTTCCTGCTGCTTGCTGTGATAAAGTTGCACAGTCAACTCTAGCCAACTGGCTTCAAGTTAAATTAATCAAAAGCTCTTTGTGATCTAAACTGAGAACAATTTTTGTTACACAGTATGCTTTCAAGTAGAGCAGAATGCAAGGAGGGACCACAACAAAGTGTACTTCCTTGAAACTAGCAAATCCCTTCAGCAGAGCAACAGACTGGTTTTGTGTTCATTTTCTCTAATTGGCAATATTTTGGGCACTTTGCAAACTGCTGCTATGGGAGTCTATCTCCAGGAGAGGGCACTATCTAACTTCTAAATATTAAAAAAAAAAAAAAAAATTCCTACTGTATTAGCTCTAATTAAAAACATCAGCATGCTAAGAACTTGCTTGTTATAATTAGCAAACAGTGACTGTTTCATAGTTAGTGAAATGTTATCTTGTATGGGCAGTTTAAATTACACTTGCACCATTAGTCATACAAGTTAGCATACCCTGTGATGTCACCCATTCTAGCCTTTGATTTGACAGATTTTTCAGTGAAAGACAACCATTTTTTGTTGGAAGCAATGATAATTATAATACATTTTCTGCAACCTCTTTTTAGAAGAATCCTTAAAGATGTATTATGGAAGGGAAGTGTTTGAGAGCCATGATCAGCATCTAGTAGTATAGATGGCCAAGAGAGTGGAAATGTGTGCTGATTTTGGCTGGGATAGAGTTATTTTTCTTCATAGTAGCTAGTATGGGGCTATGTTTTGGATTTGTGCTGGAAACAGTGTCGATAACACAGGGATGTTTTAGTTGCTGCTGAGCAGTGCTCACAAAGCATCAAGGCCTTTTCTGCTCCTTGCCCCACCCTACCAGCGAGAGGCTGAGGGTGTACCAGAAGTTGGGAGGGGACACAGCTGGGACAGCTGACCCCAACTGACCAAAGGGATATTCCATACTGTTGACATCATGCTCAGCATATAAAGCTGGGGGAAGAAGGAGGAAGGGGGAACGTTCAGAGTGACGGTGTTTGTCTTCCCAGGTAACTGCTACATGTGCTGGAGCCCTGCTTTC